TCGTTGAGCTCCGGCGCTCCCAAGAACTGTAGCGCTTGACGTAGGCCAGTTATCGGCGCGTAGTCCATCGGGCTTGGGGCTAACTCCACCCTGTCCCGCGATACGCGTTCCTCCTGATCGCCAATGGCAATGACTACCGTATGTTGATCCGATCTTTTAACCTGATAAGGTCCTGTAGCGACTTGTGCCAGCTTGTGTTTCGGTTCGCTAGCTGTGTCCTGCTCCTTCCGGAGGAACACGTAGGACCCCGGTGGGATCTCATATTGCGGTTTGCGAAGGCGTGCGTCGAAATTTCGCTTGTACCGGGCCTGTTCCTTCCGCAAACTCCTATCGGCGCCTCGCACTAGGCTCTCCAACCACGACTGCCATTTCAGGTAGTATGCTCGTGACGAGCTGAAATTCTCCAATGTTGGTTGCGCTTGTAACGCAATGTTTCTCGGCGCCCGAGCCAACACCAGCTCGAAGGGCGCAATGTTCGTAGTTCGATGAACTTGTGTGTTGTAGGCGAACGTCACAGCGTCGCTAAATAAGTCCCAGTCCTTGGGGTGCTCTCCAACGTATTTTCGCAACGCGGAAGTCAGCGTGCGGTTAAACCTCTCAACTTGGCCGTTGGCTTGCGGGTGGTACGTAGTCGTGAACACATTGCCGATGCCGAGAATTCGACAGACGTTCTGAAAGAACCGGGCCGTGAACTGTGTTCCATTGTCGGACAGCAGCTTGACCGGCGGTCCGTACACGAATACTCAATGGTGAACGAAGGCTTGTGCGATGTGCGCAGCTGATATCTTCTTCAACGGTACGGTTCGTACCAGTTTCGAGTATCGATCGCTGATCACGAGAATATACCGATTTCCTCGCTTAGTTGTAATTAGCTCGCCGAGGATGTCGATGGCGACAAATTTCAGCGGCGCTTTGGGCGTGAACAGCTTCATTTCCTTCCTGTTTTTTCTTAACTTCACCCTTTCCCGCGCACATGCGGAGCAAATCTTCGCGACTGCATAGCAGTCTAGGGCCATCGTAGGCCAATAAAAGTACCTTCTCAAAGTCTTGTAAAGTTTCCTGCCTCCCGGGTGGCCTGCCAATTTTGCGTAGTGGCTCAACCCTAGGACGCGGTCCCTTAACGATTGTAGTATTACCACTTGTACAAACTCTGCCGCGGTACGGCATAGAGTTCCGTCGAGTTCCTCGGTCTCCGTGCTGAACGTTCTCACCGTTCCGGCGTCCATTTCTTCCTTGATGCGGTTGCAGAAGGGGTCGACGGCTTGCTCGCGAATGAGCTCCTCCGGAGTGACAGCGTGGAATTGATCGAGGCGATCAGGGGCGGTCCCCCCCTCAAGAGCGGGGATGTCGTCTGCCGCCTCAATACTTTCCTCGTCCTCCACTGTACCCTCGGCCGGTTCGGCCATAAAGCAAGGGATTTCGTCGTCGATTTCGTGGACGGTTTCTCCTGCGGTTCGCAACCTTGACAAAGCGTCCGCCTGGCTGTTAGCCTTTCCCTTTTTGTACTTGATTTCAAAATCGAATTCCGAGAGGCGTAGCCTCCATCGGATTAATCTCCCGCTGGGGTCGGTTACGTTCATCAACCACCTCAATGAGGCATGGTCGGTATGCACGACGAAGTGCTCGCCATATAGATATGGTCTTAAAGTCTGTACGGCCCAAATTACCGCTAGACATTCTTTTTCTGATACAGAATTGTTTCTCTCGGCTGCGGCTAACGTTCTTGAAAAGAACCCGATGGGTTTGCGTTGCGCATCCGGGTGTGTTTGAAATAGTGCAGCGCCTATTTAGTAGTCGCTTGCATCGGTATCTACCGAGTAGGGTAGGTCCTTCTTCGGCAGCGCCAACACCGGCGGTGCCAAGATGGCGTCCTTGAGCTTATGAAAAGCTTTCTTGCACGGTTCGTCGAATCCTTCCAACTGGACCGGTTTTCCTTTCTTCAACAGTTGATTGAGCGGATGCGCGATTTTCGCATAATGCGGAACGAATCTGCGGTAGACATTACAAAGTCCCAAGAAGCTCCGGAGCTGGGTCTGCGTTTGAGGGTACCTCACTTGTTCCAATGCGACGGTTCGCGCATCGTCCACTTCCAATGTACCTGGCCGAACGACATGGCCCAGGTACTTGATCTTTTCGACGAAAAATTCACACTTGCGAAGCTTGAGCTTCACACCTGCCTTCTCCAATACAGAAAGTATTTCATCCACGTGCACGATGTGCTCCTCCTACGACTTGCTAAAAATTATTAGGGGAAGAGGACGTATATACTATAGATTAGGGCATTAGGTGCTTAGGGGTGGTTAGGAGGGTTAGGAGTGGTGAGGAGTGGTTAGGAGATTAGGAGGGTTAGTAGCTTAGGTGCTTAGGTGTTTGGGTGGATTAGGGGGTTATGTGATTATGTGCTTATGTGCTTATGTGCTTAGGTGATTACGTGCTTATGTGATTATGTGCTGAGGAGATTACGTGCTTACGTTCTTACGTGATTACGTGATTACGTGATTATGTGATTACGTGCTTACGTGATTACGTGCTTACATGCTTAGGTGCTGAAGTGCTTACGTCCTTACGTGCTTACGTGCTTAGGTGGGGATGATGTTCTTAGGTTTACTTTTGTGTACTTATGGACTTAAGGTGCTTCGGTACTTAGGTGAGGGGGTGGGCTTAGGCTGGTGGGCTTAGGTTGGGAGGTGGGCTTAGGTTATGGTTATGGGCTGAGGGTTTTGGGCTTAGGTTGGGAAGTGGGCTTAGGTTGTTGTTGCTGGGCTTAGGCTGGTGGGCTTAGGTTGTACGGAGGGGCTTCGGCTACGGGGATGGCGACAATAAATACCTATGGGGACGGCGGTGAAATCCAATCCAGTGTAAGCAGTGCAGTTTGTGGTCCCAGTTTCCCAGTTGTCCGAGTTAGTGGCTGACAGTGTCTGTGGTTGCGAGTTCGATTCTAAGTCCGGTCCGAGTCCGATTGTGGGGGCCCTGTAAGGAGCAAGTTGACTGACTGAAGCGGGGAGTGTGCCACGTAATGACGGTGTGGTTTAGAGTAAGCTTTCTTTCTGTAAGTTGCGCAGATGTTGTTTTGTCATTAGTTTCTGACGGCGTTACGAGATTAATTTACTAATTTCTACTGTATGATCAACTGGAAACAGCGCTTGATGCGCAATTCACACCATTGCGGAAAGGGTGAAAACAAACCTGTACGGTGTGGGGTGTACTTTAATCAGCTCTTCCGCTTCAATACTCAATTTCTTCTTTTTTATTTTTTATTGTCACCCACCCACCCGCCGCTGCCGCCCCCGCCCGCTGTCCGCACATCACCCCGCACCCCACCGTCCCGTCCCGTCCCGCCCCGCCTCACCGCGCCGCGCCGCGCCCCACCCCACCCCACCCGCCCCCGTCATCGTCGTCGTCGTCGCATCGCCGTAGCCGTCGTTGCCCGTTCTCCTCATCGCTCGCTCGCCCTTCGCCTTCGCCCGCCCGCCCGCTCGCCCGCCCACCCGCCCGCCCGCGCCAGCCCTATCGTGTGAATACAATACCCCCGCCGCCGCCGCTGCCTGCCCGTGCGGGCCCCCCCCGCTCACGCCGCCTGCCGCACCGCCTTTTTCCGCACCTACAGACAGACAGACAGCGCCGCCCTCCTCCCCGATGCTACTGCTTACGCGGGCAGGCAGGCCAAATGGCACGCCCACCCCATCGCTTCTGCCCCCCTCCCCCTCGGCGCCACCCCCCCTCTCCTCTCATTCTTCTTGCGTCCCTATTTCCATCCTCCCCTCTCACTGAACTGAACTAACCAACTCTGTACTACTGTACCATTCTTCTCGCGTCCCTAATTCCGTCCCCGTCCCCGCCACCCCTCTCTCTCATTCTTCTCGCGTTCCGATTTCCGTCCTCCCCTCTCACTCAACTAACCAACTCTGTACTACTGTACCCTTCTTCAAAATTACCGCGACCTACCCCGCCGCCGCCGTCGGACGTCAGGTGCCGATGAATCGCATTTTGAAAGCAAGCACGAACAAACGAAATGCACTGCGCGTAATTCGGTTTCCTCCTCCGGTTCGGTTGTGAGCGTGGATATTTTGGGGAATGTTGTCGGGGCGCGAACGGTTGACGCCGAGAAGGAGAAAGTGGCTAAAACGCGTTAGACTTGAAGGGAAGGGAATGTCATGTCATCATAGGAGGCAGAAATCCGCAGTCGGTCATTGCATCGGAGCGGAACCTGGGGCAGCTTTATCGAGTCTCTGCGCTACGGCGTTCAAGCGGTTTCTGTTTTTTTTTGGTTTGGTTATCGCCTCAAACCCAAAACTGAACCATCCATCCATCATACTTCAACATGTCGCAGCTGGCTTTTTCGGTAGACGTGACACAGAAGAGACAGATTGTGCAACAACTGAATCATAGAAAATGAGGAACTTGTCTGAAGAAGGCAATCACCACCTGGGAATCTGTTGTCAAGGGCAGGGCTGGCTCAGAGAAGACGGGAGATGCATGACTGAGAGATGGGCGTCTAACAAGCGTGAAAATGCTCGTTTCTCCAATGCGTTGGAGAAGCAACTCTTCAGCTACAGATTGGATGAAGCGTGTGAACCGCGTGAGCGTTGGTGCGGTTACGTGTAATTGCACAGGAGCGGGTGGTCGCGTTGTTGCCTGTACAGTACTGAAAAATTTCCGATGTGTAGAGCCCGTCGTCCCGCGCCGTCGCCCTCGCCGTCGCCGTTATCGCTTTCGTCGTCGACTAACTTACTGCTCATCAATTTTTGAAGAGAAAGGAGTTTACGAGTTGGTGAGTCTGAGCTGCCACGATGACATCATCCGCACCGTCGTCCAGTGACGTCATTAGGATTATCATCTCCACGGATAACCACTTGGGCTACCTGGAAGAGGATCCTGTTCGCGGCGATGACTCCTTTCGCAGTTTTGAAGAAGTCCTGCAACTGGCCACTGCCAACAAAGTCGACATGCTCTTACTCGGCGGGGATCTATAGCACGACAACAGCCCCTCTCGCAGTACCATGTTGAAAACAATTCGTCTTCTTCGCCAGCACTGTCTGTCTTCCGACGGTGAAATCCTTCTCGAAGTGCGCTCCAACCCTGTTGCTCTCCCTGCCGCTGTCAATTCCATGGATCCCTGTGTTGCCGTTTCCCTGCCAGTATTTGTCATTCATGGAGGGCATGACCAACCCACAGTCCAAACAGGAACAGGCCGTGCACGTGCAGCCCCTACTTCCTCTCTTCATCTTCTCGCACAGGCTGGACTTGTGACATATTTCGGTCAATCGCCGTGCTCCACAAACATTGAGGTTGCCCCGATCCTCTTGCAGAAAGGACAAAAAAGGTTGGCGCTGTACGGCTTGGGAAATGTAAGTGATGAAGTACTGCGTGAGAAGGGGGTGAAATGGCTTGGTCCACAACTGCAGCAACAGCGCCATTTGCATTTGCATTTGGATGTGGAGGGATGCCATAAAGACGTTGATGAACTCAACGACCGTGTACCCTGGTTTAATGTGTTTGTGCTTCACCAGAACTGCGCTACCGGCAGATCGTCGACGAGGGGCATTCCAGGCACCCTATTGCCAGCCTGGCTTAATTACGTAGTCTTGGGGCACGAACACGAGAGCAAGCCTGACGTCAGGCGATCGAAACCAGTAATCGTGCAACCAGGCTCCACAGTTGCCACTTCACTGTCCGCGAGAGAGGCCAAGCAGAAGCATGCAATTTTACTCGAGATACACAAAGAACAACTCGTCAAGCATGTCCCCATCACACTGTACACAGTGCGAAATCTCCACGTTGAAGATATTATTCTTTCGGCACAGTCAGGGTTGTCCCAGACAGATCCGGAGGGGCTGAACAAATGTTTGGAGGATACTGTCAACGACATCATCGAGAGACAGCAGGCTTTCTTTGATCGGGTCGTAGCGATCTTTCGAGGTCGTCGTGGCGCTCCCAAAGACGTGGTGGTCCATGGAGTGCGGTATTCCCCACGTTCTTTCTATACCGAAAAACTTTGCTCCATAGTCCGGCAACCACTCATCATACTGCGAGTAGAAACAACCGGCAAATGGCAACTGCCCAATCCCACAACATTTGGTCAGACTTACATTGGTCGAGTAGCATCACCGGGAGATATGCTACAGTGTTACAGAAGCGAGAAGGAGAACAAACTGAGAAGACAAAATGCAAAGGCCCCATTCCAGAGGAAGGCATCTGCGATGGCGAGCCAAGACGAGGAGGGCCTTCCTCGCAGTCGTCGCCGCGGCGCAGAAATTGTCATCGTGATAAGTGATGAAGAGGAAAACACGCCCTTTTCCGTGGGCGTGAGCGAAGCTTTCCGTAGAAAGCCTTCGCCTGGAACAGCTGAATGACAACCAGATCGAGATTATTAAGCGACCCATCAAGCGATTGCTCTTCGCGCGTTTGCCCGCCTTTTTTGCTCGTGGAGACGACGACGACGCCGCTGCAGCTCTTTCATATCTGTCTGTCTCACTCAGTTTTCAGTCAATTTTTTACGCTGTCTTGCAGAACCGAGTTCTGAAAAGGACGAGGGAGGCGAAGGCGCACACGTTGTGGGAAATTCCCATGTCCAGTAGGACGAAAACAGCGGAGCAGAATGCGTAGCAAGTCATTTGAGAAACTGTTCTACACTACTGTACGAAACTGAGGACAACATATGTGTTGCGTGTCATGAACGGCATTGTATTGTACACGATGCCAATCACAGGCTTGCGGTATTTCGGGTACTGTTCCCGGATGTCTATAGAACAAGCGAAGCCAAAGCCCTAGTAGACCTAAAACTTTACGACGATTACTTCATTTCCAGCTCACCATCCAACCTACCTCGTTGTCCGCGCTGGCGAGCTGCACACACCGTTCGTGTGCAGTATTTTTTTGGGGAATGCTACGCAAAAAAACCGGAGATGTCATGGTCATCTCCCTTTTTCGCGTGATCCTCCACGTCGGCAGCACCAGTGGCTACGGCAAGTGCGCGGACTAGACTCCTTGCCGTGCCCACGTAATCGGTATGGTCAATACCGACGTAAGTCGAGCGCAACTGTTCGGCGCTGGTGTTCATTTGCTGCGCCATAATGTCGAGGAAAGCAGCTTCGGTGAGAGTTGGAAAGATTTTCTTTTCGCGAAACGACTTCATCATCATGGTGCCATAGCTACTTCGCAGGGTCATAACAGTGCAATCCACCAACGTAGGCTCAGAGACACTCAAAAACCGCTTGAATGTCTTGGTAATTTGGGGAGAACGCAACTCGACACCACTCTCCGAATGGACAATGAGGGGTTTGTTCGACATGTCGCTCTCGTCCAGGCGTGCGGCCTTCAAAATTTGAGGACGGACAACAGCACAGTGAAACTTAATATACGGCAATATGTACCCAGGAAAAAGAACATAGGGCATCGCCAGGCTGCGGCGAGTCTTCTCCCGCACAGTGCGCAATTCCAGAAACCCTTTAACTCTCGCCATCTCCGACATGTCAACCAGGTCGCTGTCTGAGGGAACCTACAGTTGGGTATATACTTGCGGACGCTGTCCACCGCCGGTCAGGACCAAAACGTTGATAATGTTAATGCACCATTTGTTTTTGAGGCGGCCATCTGCAAACATTGCCTCTGTGGCGGAATCCTCACCTACATCCGCCCGGAAATCGTCGAATTACGTCATGATATCGTCCAGGGACTTTCGAATTCTTTGCTTACATCTCCGAAAGTCGTCGGGCAAAAATAAAGCGGCGCGCTCTACTCTGTCATCAATCACTTGGCGATCTGTCGTCCTTTAGCGTCCCAATGCCTTTTGCAAGTTGTATATCGCGCGGAGATGTATCCGCGAACGTTCAGCATCAGCTCCCAAGATTGCGTCCCTCCCCTCAAAGTAAATTTTTGCGTGCTCCGCCACTTTCTTCAGGCAGATAACTTTCGTCATGACAGTTGTACATACAGTACGAATGCGGTAGTGCGAAACTAGTAGTTCTACTGTGCTCCGGTCGCAAATAGTCGTGAAGAGCACGCCGGACTCCCACATCGATTCAACCTCAACCTTTTGACACATGACGGCCAAGCGCAGCAACTGCCCTGCCGCCATGCACACTTGCTTCCAGGAACCATTCTTACCGCCTCCTGCAATTTTTGGCTCATACTCCAAATGGAATATTTCAGCGAGGTCGTCATTATTTTTTTCAGAGACTGGCACTGATTTGTAGGCGGGACGGCCTTTTCCAACTACTGTCTGTGTCTGGAGGGTGGCTTCCTGCGATGAGAAGAAATTCGGATCACACCGTACCAGGCTGTGGAGAGTGCAAGCCCAGGCATCTTCAGTTGACAAATCTAAAGCTCCAATTGTTCCTGACATGGGTGCGCCCTTTCTACGGCGATTGCGGCCTCCACTGACACCGACGGATCGCATTTGAGGACGCACGCACGAGACTCTTGCGGCCAAGACATCTGAATGTTGCTTCTGAACCGCCTCTATGTCAATTCGTGCCGTTTTGAACCGGGGGGGCCTTTCTGCGTGTTGTCATCGTCATTTTTGGAACACACGGGGCTGTCGTCCGCAAATAAGGGAGGGGGGGAATGGTGGCTGCACTGTGACGCAGGGCTTCTGGCTGGAGAGGTGTGACTGGAGAACACAGGTCCGGTTGACAGGAGCTCTGTGCGTGGGGTGTAACGTCCTCTGCCGTGTGTTCCACACGGTTTTTGTTTGTGGCTTTTTTGCCTTTTTGTTTTTTTTGCGAAGCTTTTTCCCTTCGGATGTGAGCTGGGCACTTTCCGATCCATTCGCAGCCTCTCTTTTGCGACCCATGTTCAAGTAATGTGCGGGATGATGGGAAAAAAGTTGGTGTGGAGACGGGCCGGAAAGTGGATCAGGGGGTGTGAGGGGGGGTGGTGGTGGTGGAACGGCGTTAAAGTACAAAGGATAAGGAGCTGCAAGTGGTAGGGCATATAGAGTACACGCGGGATTAATGCAGTGAAAGGCCGCAGAGCTGGTCGGGGTCGCCAGGGAAAAGGGCGGGCATTTTTGAAAGCAGTGGGATTGTGCACCCACAGCAGTCTCAGAAGTCACCCAGCCACCGTCATGCTACAGATACACTACTTGTAGTGAGAAAATAAAGCAGCACGCGACTTGTTGCCGCGATGGAGCCAGCAGATGCCACGCTTGTAAACTTTGATTGCTCATCGTCGTGGCCGCACGAGCTGGCCACCGTAACATTAGTACGTGATCCGTATGATCTGTCTCTACCCGACGGTACACTACTCCCATTCCCAGCCGTGTAGCGGCACCAGATCATCAGAAACCGTATTCCATTAACCGTTACACACAGAGAAAATGCGATACTGTGTGGCGATGGGTGAACAAATTTCACCCATCGCTTATGATCAAGCATCGCTTGAGTACTGTAAAGGGGACAACGACAAAACATTATTATGAAGAAGGTACTCTTTCGCGGAGGGGGGGTAGTTTTCCGTCAAATCGGATGGGTTGAGGTCGGATGAGGTCGAGCAGACAGGAAATGACTGGCGAGTAGCGCGATTGAGGATAGAGCTGGCGCCGCGAAAGGAGTGCGAGCAGCTACAGGGTACGTGTATTTACTCGTGGTCTAACGAGAACAAATGTCACCCATCGTTTATGATCAAGCAACTTGCTGGATCATAAACGACGAGTGAATGATTGAACGCTTGACTAAAGGGGACAACGACGAAACAATATCATAGAGAAGGCACTCCTTCGCAGAGGGGGGGGAGGGGGCTTTACCCGTATGCAAAGAGCGCACTCTCAGACAACGTAGAGGGATGTCAGCGCAAGGGACGTTCTTTGGCGTTCGCACTGGCGTTTACGACTGTGAATGGGCACTGCAATGAAAAGAGCGTGAAGAAAAGGAGTGGAAACCCTGCACGACCTGCATTGTCATAAGACTGTACTTGAATTAAAAAACCTTACACCGAATGCTGTATGAACGAAAATAGTCACTTACTGTAAACGCACAGTGTATCACCCCTCCATCTCCGTCTCCTGCATCATTGGGACGCCACGTCTTCACCCAACGCGCCGCCAATCCAGCATTCCCATGGGTTGAATCCCTATCGGCGCGATTGCCGATCCTCCCCGCACCAAAAAAACCCTCCATCCCTGACATGGAAGCTGCACCAAAAAAACCCTCTATCCCTGACATGGAAGCTGCTGTCTCCCACCGACGTGCGAGTTGCGGCAGGCTTCCCACAACCCCGTGCGGCGCCATCGCCGGCTCCACCTCCTTCTCCGCTCGCAACGCAGAAGCCGACTGGAAGGCGTTTCGCCCTCTGCAATCTATATACCTAGACTCCGAGCTCGCCGTTATACGTCTCGCTGTCGCCGGCCACCCGATCTCCGACTACTTTCAGCGCTGCAAAACGGCGCGTCAGGCCCCGTCTCGTGACCTCGCCTACGAGATCGAGCAGGTGTTCCCCCTCGCCGCTGCGAGGCACGTCACTCGTCTACGCCAGGTGCTCAACAAACGCTCTGTGCCTCATGAGCATACCGCTTGGGTAAAGAAGGCTATCATCACCATGCTGAAAGCACCCATAGCCGCGTTTCTCGAAATTGCGGATATGCTCGCGGAAAACGCGATGCAGAGTGTTGGCAAGCGCAATCATCATCAAAGGATACGTGCCGGCCTGAATCGTATGCTCATGTATCTGTCAGACTGCTGGCGGTATACGATGGATCATGACACCGCAAAAAATGCCGCCCAGATGCTCCAGGTTTTCAGCCCAAGTGATCCTGAGGCTCATTTCAGATTAGCTATGAATCTTGCCATGTTGTGCAACGGAAATCAAGCTATTCGCCCTTTCTTTCATTACTGTGTCTTTCTTGCTAACAGAAAAGTATGCGTCATGCATAAAGAAGCTACTGTGGTGAACAAGTTTGTGCAGGGGCTCTCGTGTCATTACTTGGTTGAAACTCCCGACCGACGCCGCCCTGTGCTAGAGCTAGAAAAGCAACGCTTCTTTGCTCTCCTCATCAAAACCTTGTGGACTCTTCTCGGAAACGATTTAAAAATGGGGACAGACTCTGTGCGACGAATGCTCCTTTGGGAATCCGCTGAATCCTTCATGCAGCAGAAGCAGAGTGTATCCGCCGAGGAAATGAGGAACGTCGTCGGTGCTATTATGTTTGTGCACCACAGATGCAGCGCAAAGGGCAGTGCCGGAGAAAAACTGCTTCCGCAATGGGATCTCGCAGACTTTCTTGTCGGCCGCTTCCTTCACATCGCATGCGTGAAATACTCACAGACACTGCATGCGGTGTACACTGCGATGCAGAAGCGCAAGAAGAATCGTCGAAGAACTATGCAAGAAAACGGCGCCTAGGAAACTCAAATAT